CACTCCTTCTGAGCACCCCTGTCCTCATAGAGTCCCAAAAGGAGGGTATGCCCTCCCAGAAAGTTCGGCGCTGCGGTAAAATCCCGCAGCTAAGTCAGCCGTCCATGCCCGCTGACTCAAGTTCCACTTGAGATGATGAAGATAAGATGAGTCTTACGTCTCGGAACAAGGGAACTTCTAGGAAGAGGAGAGGGACCCTCCCATGTTGTGGAAAATAACCTTTCTCAGCCCTGCATCATCCTCTGAGCTCTGCTGACCTTTAATGTCTAATCTTTCCTCCTCTCTCTGTCCATCGGCATCCACTAGATGTGTGTGACACATGTTTTTCAGTACGCATACTTGATGTGGTTGCGTGTGTGTGACTTGCATAAATGTCACCGAGCCATGAATCTCAAGTGGTTTCTGCTTCTTGCGACCCCAGGTTACTGAGATCTAGACATGCTGCTGCCTGTACAACTAGTTTCCTACGAGTTTGTTTCGGAGTGTGTGCCCACCAAGTTTTACTTACTAATTGATGAGCAATCAAAAGCACCATAAGGAAAGTGAAAAGACCAGCCACCACTGGGAGGTGATCAGTGCACCTGTATCCGTAATACATACAGAACGTCTGCAAATTAATAAGAAAAAAATCGAACCGCCTTTTAGAAAAAGATGCAAGTAGGACATAAACAATTTACGGGAAAGTAAGCCAGAAGAGTGAATCGACTTCTAATGGATATTCAAAATATCCAGGTGTCAGGAAACATAATCTAAAGCCACAATGAGATCCAATGAGAAAGAGCAAAAGTAGTTCTCTGATAAAAATTTAAAGACTTTTTTTTTTTTAAGTAAGGGGAATAAAAAATGAGAGCGAGAAGAGGGAATGAGATTTCAATGAGAAAGAGCAAAAGTAGTTCGCTGATAAAAATTTAAAGACTTTTTTTTTTTTTTTAAGTAAAGGGAATAAAAAATGAGAGCGAGAAGAGAGAAAGAGATAGAGGACAAGAAATGAAAGTGAAGGAATTAAGGATTGCACTTCATAAATTGGTTTTTAGAAAGCAAAAATAAACCAAAAGAAGATAAGAGTAGGGGATTTTTAAAAATAAAAGGTGAAATAATTGAAGAAAAAAATAGCAACAACGACCAGGTTTAAGAGCTTTTATACATATTAACTCATATAAGCTCATAACAGTCCAATGAGGTAGGAACTACTATTAATATTATTCCCATTTTATCTGTGAGAAACTGAGGCACGGGAAGACGGTTTATTCATTCTTCTAAGATTATATAGCTCATAAATGGTATAGCTGAGATTTAACCCAGGCAGTTCGACCCTTAACTAGTAAATAATATCATGTCTTTAAACCAAAAGACACAGAAAGAATAAATAAAATCTGCTTTTTAGAAAAAGACTCACAAACAATTATGAAATTTGAGTAATAAAACAATATAATTGTAAAAAAGAAAAAAAAAGAGACTCGCAAGCAGGATCTACTTGCAGTAAGCCTGGAACGAGAAGAAAATACAGAAGTAATCAGAAATTAAGAACACGGTCTGTGTGCCTGCATGGCAATAAACTTAAATATCTGGAAGAAACAGACAGCTTCTTAACAAAACATGACCCAAGTCAAAACAGAAGTTTTTAAAATGTAGCTTAATTTATTAATCATTCTTTTGTTATTTTCTCGATATTTTGGACTAAGAAGTCCTTTCTACCCAGAAATTCTCCCCAAAGTTTTGCTTCTCAAATATTTAGGTTTAGAGCTATCTGGGCAGGGATTGGCTATCTCCTTCACTATTACATGGCCAGGACCTTCAGCAGAGCACGTAGCAGCCCCTCAATATATATTGAATAAATGAATTAGTGAGAGGCTGTCGTGTGTTAGCCCTGAGGGAATGAGTACCTGGATGGTCTTACTCAAGACAAGTGAAAGCATATGGCCACACAAATATTCACACACAGAAGTTCTTAGCAGCTTTTCTGCTAATAGCCCCAAACTGGAAACAGCCCCAATGTCCATCAACAGGTAAATGTATAAACAAAATGGTATAGCCCCACGATGAAATTCTACTAAGCAATAAAAAGAAATGAAGTATCAATAATTATGCTGGGTGAATGAAGCCAGACTCAAAAGGCTAAATACTGGATGATTCCAATTTATAAGAAAGTCTAGAAAATGCAAATTAATCTAAAGACAGAACGCAGGTCGGTGGTGACTGAAGGGAAAGGGGGTCTATATTAAAATTTCATAATACATTCACATCTGTCTTCTATAAGGCCACAGAAACATAATACATTGGGCAACAAATGCTTTACCACCTGTTGATGGTAAAGATACAGAAACTGGGGCCCAGAGACTATGCGATTTGCCTGAGGTTATCATCTGGCTCATTGGTGACATTTTTACATCTGATTCCCACTGTAATTAGATGATCATTCCCCCTCTGCTCAGATTCTCATTTAGACTTGGTCCCTGGAGAGGCGGTGGGGTGACAGCCAGTGACAAAGTGACAGACACCTCCCAGGTATCCACAGAAGTCCATGCCTTGCCCCTCATTCGTCCAACTTCACTCCACAGTCTCAAACTCAAACTCACCCGTATTTGAAGCATGCTATGAGCCCCCGACCACGTTGCGGGTCATTCATTCTGAGTTAAGGCCAGCCTACTTTTCCTCAAACTGCACGTGCCTGTGAATGAAGCCATCTATCTTGGCCCAGTGGTAGAAAATGGCTACTGTGTTTATGGAAAGTTCAGTGAAGAGTTGGTCTACACATCTGCTCGGAGAGATTCCTCTGAACCAACTAACTCTCTGCTCTTCTCCAGGGGTCTTCTCCTAATTTTCTGCTGCAAGAAAGGGAGGAGCTGTGCTGGTGGAGAGCAGGGTTAAACCTTGGTCTAAACCTTGTGCGCCAGCCCAGTCTCTTAGATTCACGTTCCCTTCCACATCCTCATTCCCCTTTGCCTTCCTTTAAAAAATGTTTTCGTCTTTTTATTTTATTTTATTACGTATGTCTCTCTCATTTCTTCCTGGAACAAGGTGGGAAAACAGGCATCAAATAAAAATTTTAAATAAAATGTGGATAATGTTTGTTATTCCTGAGCATCGCTGAGAGGATTTGAGAAAGTGGGGCATGTTTACACATCTACGAGAGGGGCTGGAAGTGCTCGATAAAAAAATAACATTTTACCTTTTCAGCAAGACCCACCCTCGCTGCCACCTCGTTTACTGACCACTGGCCCAGCCCGGCACTCCCAAGCTCTTTATCCTACTTGACATTTCCTTCCATAGACTTGGGACTTCTAAATATTTTATATTAGGGTCCTTGCCCTCAGCACTGGGGGCCGGATCATTCTTTGTTGTGGGGCTGTCCTTTGCATTGTATGGTGTTGGGAAGCATCCTGGTATCTACCCACCAGATGCCAGTGTCACACCCTACCCCAACTTTTGACAACTGCAAAGGTCTCTGGACAGGAGCCCAATGTCCCCTGGGGGGTCATAATTGCCCCTAGTTGAGAACCACTATCTATATGACTTACTTTTTCACCATGTTCATGACTTACTGTCTGTCTCTCCCTAGCCCCCACTGGAATGTTTGCTTCAAGAAGGAGGAAATTTGCTCATTTGGGGCACTGATGTATGCCGGTATAGAGGTAGATGTGAACAAAACCGACTCCATTTCTGTGTCCACATTTTAATTCCTTTTTAAGTTTCCTGCTGTGACCAACCTCACTGTCCTTAGCAAGCATATCAAAGCCTGCTAGTTGATGATAATCTGTGTTCCTTAAAAATGTAGCCATAAATATTTTCGTTAGTAACTGCCAGATCGGCATGACAACCTAGATCAATATCAAACTGGTGATAACATGGATTTAAACAATTACCTGTCACAAAATCACCCAAAGGTATGGCTCCTGGCACTACTGCATTTTTTGTCTCTTTGTCTTGTCAATCATTAGTATCTGAGTTATACTATTTAAAAATTACAGCAGTGGGAGTCTGCAGCAGAGAATAATCTGTGCAGAATTGCTGGGTTGTTTGTCCACTCCAACCCAATCTTCTCATTAGTAAATTATCCTATGGTAAATTCTATGATACTCTATGAAGTTGTCTGCATCGTTCTTCCATCTGAAGATACTTTCTTGTTACGGTGGCCATTACACCTTTGCCCCACAGTCGGACAATGCCCAGTTCCCATGTCGATGCCTGGCATACCATAGGTGTTCAATATTTGCTGAAAGAATGAATGAACAGTTATTGGGTTTTGTACCTGGGATGGTGCCAGGGCTTGATATGCATAACTTTAGTTCCTTATCGCAGTGTTCCTTGCAGGGAGGCCCGGCCGCTGTCCCCCTTTGTACAGAGGAGAAGAACTGAGGCCTCTAGAAGCTACAGACATACATCCCTCCACCCACTCACCCAAGAGTTGAGGCCAGAAGCTTAGCTGACCACCACCTAACAAACGTCTGTGTTCTGCCTTCTGGCCAAGCATTGAATTAAGGAGTAAGCCTCTGGCAGGCACCTGTTGGAGAGCTGAAGAAAGAAGTTGAGCTGGCCTGGGAAACCAGGCCCAAGAGGGAGGCTGTCTCAGGGACCCAAAAGGAGGAGCTGGAACTCAGTTGGGTTCAGCCTGTCCCTCTTGGGAGGAAGCCCAGCCCCTGACCTATGAGATGGGGATCGAGCCCCAAAGTGAAGCCTCCAGCAGCAGTCTGGAGATGTTGCTACAGCCACCAGCCCAGGATGGCTGGAACTGCGTGTGCGAGTATATATGCAGATATGCTCAGTCCCCTCCACTCTCTCTACCCTCTCTTTAGCCCCAACTCTTCCCACTTCCCCTATCCCACCTCGCCCTTTCCCCCAGCCCAATCCAAGAAGGGCCCAGTCCTGTGATTGGACAATGGGTCCTTGGTACCAGGAATTGGGACGCGGAAGATCAAAAGGAAGGAAGAGACAGAGGGTGGGGCAGGGTGAGGGAAGAGGCTGTATTTATATCTATGCCCAGGGCTGGGAGCCTGCACACCATGGACACTGCCCGGTACAGCAAGTGGAGTGGCGGGCTCGAGGAGGTCTCTGGAGGTATGAGCAATGGGACTGCCTCACTGGCCCCCTTGGGTCCCTGTCCAGCCAGTGGTTTGGGGTTTGATGGTGGAAAGGAGAGTAACAGCCAAGAGAGGGGGCAAATAATGGGTGCAGGAGAGACATTACAATCTCTAGAGCCAACTGTACAGTAGATTCAAATTTCAACTCTGCCACTTAAGGGCTGTGTGACCATAGGGGTTACTTAATCTCTCTGAATCCCAGTTTCCTGGGAGGAATTTAAGAGTCCAGGGTTCGGCCTTCCGGGCCCAGGGATCCAGAATGGTCCTGGTACAGGAGGGACCCAGGAGTCCATCGTTATTCAAGGGTACTGCGGACGCTGGGGATGGCGATTTCTCTTCTTGGCCCTGGCTCTCGTGATCACCACAATTCTGTGGGCCCTCATTCTGAGCATCCTCCATTCCAAGGGTGAGTGACCGTGTATGATGGGGAGATCGCGTCCCAGACCTCCATACCCTAACTCCCAGCTTAGTTCTTTCTTCCGCCCCAGGGCACACCAGCGGGGGCCCTGCCTGGGGCTGAGTATGAACAGAGTTCGTGTGCATCTTCGGGCTGTGTGCACCCACATGTGTGTGCATGAATGTGTGCAGTCCCTGTGTGTGCTTGTTTCCTCTTGGCGCATAGGACATCCTGTGCGCTGTACCCCTGCCCGCCTCCTCTGTGCGTCCCAAGACGGGGCTTCCCACACTACCCCTGCGAGGGGAGGTGAGTCCCTGGGGCCACGCCTACAGGAGTCTCTCTCCGCAGCCTCTACGCAGCGCGGGGCTCTACTCCACCGCCAGGATCTGCTGAGAACAAACGGTGCGTGCAGTCCCGGGACTCCTGGGTTCGTGGGTGGCTGGGTATCCCAGGGTCCCCGGCGCTGGCCTCGGAGTGGGGAAGGGTTTCCCATGAGTTCCCGCGGATGACCTGGCGTGTGCGGGGCGGGCGGGGATCGTTTCAGCCTCGAAGCAGACGGCGGAGCTGGGCACCTTGAAGGAGGAGGTCCGAGCCTGCAATAGCTGCTGTGAGACACGTGGACTGAGGCGGCGGAGCCTGCGGGCTGTGGGCGGCTCTCGTGGTGTGGGGCGGGGATTAAGACCAGGATTGGAGGAGGTCTCCGTGGTCTGGTCCCGATGCCCGCCCTTTTCCCAGGCCTTAGGACACAGGAGGAGTTGCAGACCGCGCGCACAGAGCTTAAGGAGGCGCAGGTGAAGCTGATCCAGCAAGAGAGCGCCCTGAATGAACTGAGCAACCGCGGTGAGGGTGGGACAGGGCGACAACCCCTGATCTCTCACCACGCGGGTCACCCGACCTGATTCACGTCCTGATCCCTCTGTCCTGACCTCTTGCTCCAGGCGAGGCCCCTCCTGACCCTGACCCCTGGGCTCTGCCGTTGACTACTTTTAACCCCAATCACACCTGGATCGTACCCCTCTGTAACAGTCTTTGACCTTGCTGTCATTCTTGAACATTACACTGACCACGGACATGGATGTAACCCTACCCCTGACCCTGACCCCAGCTAAAATCTGGACTTCTTTGACCTTGCAGTGACCCAGAGTTTGGCTGAAGCAGGTAGGGACCGTGAGAACATCCGCAGTGAGCTGTTCCAGGCGCTGGAGACTGTCCAACTAGGGAACAGTGAGCAGGACAGGATGGGGGGGAAAGGAGAGGTGGTGGTGGTGGGGGGACAAGTGGACCCTGCCCCTGGGCCTCGGGGTTACCCGATCCTCCAAGTTCGCCGTTTGACCTTGGCCTCTTCTCCATGTCTCTGCCTGTGTCCCCGGGGTCCACCCCCCCAATCTCCTCTGCCTGCTCCACCTGGGAGCAGTCTACGTTTTTGACACTCGCCACCCCGCAGGTTCTTGCAAGCAGTGCCCCACGTCGTGGCTGCCCTTCCAGGGCTCCTGCTACTTTTTCTCCGAGCTGCAGGCCACGTGGGAAGCGGCACAGCGCAACTGCGCAGACTTGGGTGCGCACCTGGTGATTGTCCAGGGCCTGGATGAGCAGGTGCGCAGCCTGGTTGGTCCCAGGTGGGAGGTGGAATTTTTGCCTGAGGGGGCAGGGCCCAGGAGATGAATACCGGTGGGGTGGACCCCGCTGATTCAGTCTCTCCTTCCATCCAGAGCTTCCTGACTCGGAATACGAGAGGACGCGGTTACTGGCTGGGGCTGAGGGCTGTGCGCCGCGGGAACAAGATCCAGGGCTACCAGTGGGTGGACGGAGTCTCGCTCAGCTTCAGGTGAGGGAAGAAACTTGGGGAGTGGGAAAGGTCAGATCCTAGGGTCAGTACTTTGGACAGATCTCAGGAACTCTTCCGGGATGGGCAGGCTAGCCCACAGGAACTGGCTGAAAGATAAACTCTGGGGGGTAAAAAGTTATATCCCAGGGGCACGCTCAAGCTAGATCCTCAGGCTGTCTAGTTAGACTCAAGCAATAAACAGGCTAAACCCTGAAGGCTAGATGCCAGGGCCATCCTCAGCCTAGACCCCTGGCAACACCACTGCCAAACCACTGCAGCCACTGGAACGTGGGAGAGCCCAATGACTCTTGGGGGCTCGAGGACTGCGGCATGATTCTACACACGGGGTTATGGAACGATGCCCCGTGCAACAATGAGAGGGACAACTGGATCTGCGAGAAAAGGTCCAGCTGCTGAGTCCGCCCAGTGCTCGCGAGCCACGCCCACGGCCACTTGTGAGATTGCCTGAGCGGCTCCCTCTTCTGGCTCCGCCCACCGCTATTGATTTTTTCCCCCCCTTCCCACCCACCACCACTGAGAACCACCCCCCTAACTCAACCCAATCCAGTGCCTGCGCTCTGGGACCTCTGCTCCAACCTCACCACAACCCCTCCCATGCTGGCCGAACTTAGCCTCCACCCCTTCCAAAATATTGCCTCCTGGGCCCTGTGATCTGACCCCACCTCCCTCCCTGGCCAAGGTAGGTGACCCTGAGATGGAGCTGTTTGGTTTCCTTACATTTCCCCCCAAACTGGGAGGCCTCGAAGATAGGGGTTTTATGAACTGCCTCGAAAGCCCTAGGGAGCATCAATAAAAGTTTAAGAAGTGAATCTTGGCTCCTGGCTCTTGCAAGATCTTCTAAGCTTTATCCCAGAGTCCCTGACATGATCCCTTTGAGTGGCCCCAACCCCTCTAAGTGACCTCATGGTCCTACGACGCCCCCAAAACCAGTGAGTAGCCTGCACAGGGCTAGGAGGGCTATGGGGTGCTGGGGACACAAGGGTGAGTCGGACTCAGTTCTTACCATGCTCTGCCCCAACCCCAGACCTCCCCGTTCTAGTCTAGCTAGGTACAGAAACAATGTGACCAGTGATCAGGGAAGGAATGCATGAATGAGTGACACATGATGAATTCAGGGGAGCCACCTGTGTTCTCAGGGAAAGGCACTGTGTGGAGACACCAAAGTGGTGGCCCCTTTCCTTGAGACTGTCATTGTGTTGTGCAGATTACAGGCTGCCTGAGACAAGGCCCTGAGGCTGGTGTGAGGGGTTCGCCCAGTTCTGATGAGCAAGTCCTTTCTGTCTCTGGCACTTAAATTCTGTGATCACAGGCAGGGCGATCAGGAAATACATTCCAGAGAAGATGGACTTTCAGGACACAGTGAGATTTCAGCATGTGGAGCTGGGAAGGGAGGGTTTTGCGGGTGGAGGATGTTGGAAGGTATTAAGTATGGGTGAACCCATTTAGGGGATGCAGGGTACACAGGGCCTGGCTTTATTAACAGGGGACTTTTGATCTGAATTCACCCTGTACTCCCAAAGTTTCCTATTCCCATCTCAGAGACCTGGGGGCTCTCCCAGAATTTCCAGTGGAGATGGGTCTAACTAAGAGGTGTGGCAGCCTAGCAGCTTTTAGTTCTGTGTAGAACTGAGTCCAGAACCAAAGCTGCTAGGAGCCCCCAGCTGCCTGGCCCTGAGAGCATCGGCTGAGCAGGAAGACGAGAGAGTAACCCCCAAACACCCTGGCCAGGTGAAGCCTTTCAGTGCTGTAACCAGCCAATCCCCCAGCCCTTCTCTGGACCCTCTACAATTGCAGCCCAGAGCGAGCCACCTGACTCCTGGACAGATAACATACCTAGTGGACTGTCTGCCAGACTGATGGATTTCAGACAGTTGGCTTGGAGGAATATATGAGTCCCCTAGGGTTTCTGTAACAAATGACCACCAACTTGGCGGCTTATGACAACACACATTCTCTACAGTTCTTGAGTTCAGAATTCCAAAATTAGTTTCATTGGGACAAAAATCAAGCTGTCAGCAGGGCCAGGCTCCATCTGTAAGCTCCAGGGGAGAATCTGCTTCCTTCTTTTTCAGCTTCTAGAGCTGCATCCCTCACATTCTCTGGCTCATGGCCCCTTCTTCCATCTCGAAGCCAGCAGGATAGCATCTACTTCAGTGGTCACATTGCCTTCTCATTCTGGGTCAAATCTCCTTGTTTCCCTCTTATAGAGAATTCTTATATAGAAATGCTTGTGATTGCAGTTAAGGCCCACAGGGATGATCCAGGATGATCTCCTGTAATACTGCAATACAATTGTGGAACTAACCACACCAAGTTAGTTCAGATCCCACCCACAGATTAAGGGCATAGTTCCTAACAAGACTACTCTCATTGCAAGTTTGAGGGGCCCCAGGCTACCTACACTTCTGACCAACTGATTTGACCAACCCATTTCACAACTCCCTCTGGTTCCATAATTTGCTAGAATGACTCAGAACTCAGGAAAGAGCTATACTCACAGTCACAGTTTTGTTATAAAGGACACAAATCCAGACTAGCTAAATGAAGAGACCCAAAGGATGAGGGCTGGAAGTATCTCAAACGCAGAGGTCCCGTGTCTCTTCCCATGGACTCAGGACATGTCACCCTCCCGGCACTTTGATGTGCTCACCAGCTAGGAAGCTCCTCTGAACATTGGTGTCCAAAGTTTTTATTGGGGTTTCATTGTAAAGTTGTGGTTGATTGAATCATTGATCACGTGATTGCCCTCATTCTTCAGCCCACATCCCCTCCCTGGAGGTCAGGTGGCTGAAAGTTTCACTCCCCATGGTTAATCTTTCTGGCACGACAAGCCCCCACCCTGAGCCATATTCTTGGTATGAATTCAGGTGTAAGCCAAGGGGCCTCCACGAAGATCAAAGACACTCCTATTATTTAGGAAATCCCAAGGGTTTAGATGCTTCTTGCCAAGAACCAGGGACAAAGACCAATCAAATTCTTTAATACATAACATCTCTCCATCTCTAAACCTTTAATCACATCTACAAAGTCTCTGTTACTGTGAAATAAACCAGTCACAAGAGGACAAGTACTGCATTAATTCATTTACTTGAAGTACCTAGAGTAATCAAACTCATAGAAACATTAAGTGGAGTGGTGATTGCCAGAACCTGGGAGGAGAAAGACGTGGGGAGTTGTTGTTTAATGTGTGCAGAGTTTCAGTTTTGCAAGATGAAAAACTTTTGGAGATTGGTTGCTCAACAGTGAATGCACCGAACTATCCACTTAAAAATGATTAAGATGTAAACTTTATGTTATATCTATTTTATACCACAATTAAAATTTTCAAAAATTTTAACTCACCATTTCAAGCTCCAAGTCAGAGTTTTGAGAAATTTATACAGCTGTGTAGCCACCACTACGTTCCAGATATAAAACATTTCCATCAAATTCCTTCCCCAGCCCTGCCCCAGGCCGCAACGATCTGCTTTCTTCACCATTGATGAGACTTGTCTTTTCTCGAATGTCATAAATTGAATCACATCATATGTTGTCTTTGGTGCCTAGATCCTTTCTCTAGGCATGTCTCTGAGATTCATCCACACCGTCGTGTATATCCATCATTTGTTCCTCCTCATTGTTGACTCCTTCCATTGTGTGGCTGGCCCATGATCTGCACATCCCTTCATCATTGACTTATGTTAGCATTGTCTCCAGTGTGAGTTACTATGAATTAAGTTGCTATGAACACTCTTGTACGATTTTTTATGGCTTTAAGTTTTCACTTCTCTCGAGTAAATACCTGGCAGCGGGTTAGATAGTAGGTGAATGTTTAGCTTTTATAAGAAACTGCCAAACCGTTTTCCAAGGTGGTTGTACCATTTTGCACCCCCATCAGCAATGTCTCAGGGCTCTGGTTGATCAGAGAGGACATTTTTGACCCAGGAGAGGCTTGCAGTTCTAGAGTCAGGTGGAGGGGTTTATCTAGAGAAGAGCAGGAGAGAAGGAAATGAAGCTGGAAGTTGAAGCAGATAATGGGGGAAGACAGGAAGTCGGCAGTAACATGTGCCTGATAACACATGTTTTTATGGGACGACCGGGGGACTGGGAAGCAGGAGTTGGAGAGGAATTACAGCCCCTGAACCAAGACCAAGGAGGAGGTTGGCAAGAGAAGCTGGAGGGGAGTGGGATCAAGTCTCCTGGAAACGAGCAGCAATTTCACTCATTCGTTCATTCATGCATGCAAAGCGATCATTTTCTCATCCACAAACATTTCTCCAGTGCTAATTAGTTTCTACATCAGGCACTGGCATTCGATGGAGAAAAAGAGACCAGGGTCTCTGGACATGGAGGTTTCTGAAAATCCATAAGCTGAGTGGAAGCGGCCATTCACAAAATAATATGGACTCTAGGAGCCTATTTATATGAAGTTCTAGAACAGGCAAAACTACTCCAGGTAGGAAAAAAACATGGGCACAATGGTCACCTGTGAGTAGAGGCAGAGATTTCCTGAGAAGGACCATGAAGAAACTTTCTAGAGTGATGAAAATGTTCTGTGATCTTGACAAGCATTTGGATTACAAGGGGAATGCATTTGTCAAAACTCAAAGAAAACGCTCTTAGAATGTGTGCATTTCATCCTATGTCATTTTACTCAAAAAGAAAAAAAAGTAAGGAGAGTGGCAAACAAATATTGCATTTCAGTTCATGTTCTACAACCCCTCCACCTTGAGTATTTGGGGAGAAGTGAGCTGATGTAAGCAACTAAGTGAAATGCATAAAAAATAAGATGGATTGAGGGGTGGAAAGAGGGGTAAATGGATGAGTGGATGTTATAAAGCAAGTATAGAAAATATTGATTGTAGAATCTAAAGATGGGTCTTTCATTCTAAAACTCAACTTTTCTGTATGGTTAAAGAGTGTTATAATGAAATGTTGGGGTTCAAGTCATGGTTGCTGCCCCCCTGGGGCGCACAGTCTGACAGTGAGAGGAGAGGATGAGGAAGGATAGAAGGTGATATGCCCACGTAGTGAGGTTGGACGTGGAACTTTCTAAAGAAGCAATCCCCTGGCCTTCCCTGCCCCCCACCACTTCTGGCTTGAAGGGCGAGATGTGGAGGAAAGGAGGGTCTGCTTTTTAGAGGCTGAGGGGGCTTATTCAGAGAAGGTCTGCTTTTTAGAGGCTGAGGGGGCTTATTCAGAGAAAACGGGGGGTAGGAGAAGTCCCTTTTAGCTGCCCTCTGCTTCTTTCCCAGCCGGTGTCCCCACCAACAGTTCCCTGAGTGACCACAGGACCACACTTTCTGGGGCTGAATCAGCAGGTCAGTGGTGACCTTGGAGGCCAGCCAGAGTTTCCTGGACAAACTGGCTCCACTCGTCAACCCACTTTCCAAGGAAATAGCCTTGAGACAGAGTAGCTTGTTCTTTCCAATCTCCCATCTCCCTCCTCCCAATTCCAGGAAAACCCCTAGGATCCCAAAGCTCCCTACCAGGTTGGCTGAGGTGTCTGGGGAAGCCCCCAGGGTGAGACAAGACAAGT